AACTGAAAATATGGATGGAGGACAACAGAGCTGCTTCATGGAAGAAGAACCTCAGCTTAGCCTGTTAGCTTCAGCGTTAGCCCCAACGCTATCCCCATATTTACAGTATGTATTAGCTCAGCGCTACACATTCTCCTCGTCACTGAGGTCCTCCGTCCACATGACAGAGAGGGGAACACATAAATGACTCAGCTGCAACTGAAAATATGGATGGAGGACCTCAGTTTAGCTTGTTTGTCGTGCTAGCACCGAGCTGATACATATAAGGCAAAATAGCGTGAGGGCTAGCGCAAAGGCCAACAGGCTAAGCTGAGGTTGTTCTTCCATGAAGCAGTTCTGTTGTCCTCCATCTATATTTTCAGTTCCAGGCTGAGTCATTTCTACCTTCTCCTCTCTGTCAACGCTCTCTGATTTCATTTAAAAGAGTCGATCATCAGATATTGTCCAAGATTAACCTTCAGGGTGGATATAGCTCGCTCACACGATGACCTATCCACGTCATCATTTACCCAGAATGCTTTGCATGTAAATAAAATGGCTCCGTCCATGTTAAAATATATTTTTAAAAATTTACAAAACTAAACAGCCTACAGTATTTCTACAGTCTTTATGGTACAGTTAAAACAAATGTTTATCAAATAAAGTCTAATGTTACAACTAACCAGGGATCCCTTTAAGACCATATCCCAAAAACAAAACAAAACAATAAAATCTACTGGATGTTTATTTTGGACCTAAAAAAAACAGCCAAAACAGAATGAAATAATTACAGAATTTATTAGAAAATGGAAAAGAGCCAGAAGGCGAAGCTCTCGATTTACCGATCGATCTACGTTCCTACCCTCATCTATGGTCATGAGCTGTGGGTAGTGACCGAAAGAACGAGATCACAGACATGTAGCCAATATAAGTTTCCTCTGCAGGTTGTCTGGGCTCTCCCTTAGAGATAGAGTGAGAAGCTTGGTCATCTACGAGGGACTCAATGCTGCGTTCACACCGAACACAATTTTAGCATTAGGAGAGTCAGGTTTACATGCAAAGTCTATGGTTGGACACGTCAAGCTGCATTGGGAAGTGCTGCAGCACATCTAGTGTTATTAGAGCGATTTGAGCGTTTGATGTGCGTTAAGCGTGTTGAACGCTGGAGTTGGAAAATCTGAATTTTGGCAGCTCAACGCGGTGCATCAACCAATCAGAGAGACTCTATTGTGTGACCTAGTGACACATTTTTTCCGACAGGACAKTGTCCTGAATGACGTCCACTAATCTTAGACTGATGGACAGGAACTCTTCAGCTGAAATTGAGTGCATGTAGTCGGCGTCTTAGCAGGAGATATCGGCGCCGATGCAGGTGAGCGGCTCATGAAACTGGACTCAGGACAAGCGAGCCTCGTCAGCTCGCAGCTCCTGGTTGGTGATCTGGTGAATTAATTATGAATTAATTATCTGGTGAGTATGACATGTTCCAGCTCGCAGTAAATAAAGCAAATCCACTTARAATAGAGCCGCTGCTCCTCCACATTGAGAGGAGCCAGTTGAGGTGGCTTGGGCATCTGGTTAGGATACCYCCTGGACGCCTCCCTGGTGAGGCATGTCCCACTGGGGAGGAGACCCAGAGGAAGACCCAGGACAYGCTGGAGGGACTATGTTTCTCAACTGGCCTGGGAACGCCTTGGGATTCCCACAGAGGAGCGGCACAAGTGGCTGGGGACAGGGAAATCTGGGTCTCTCTGCTGCTGCCCCAGGGACCTGACGCTGGATGAGCGTAAAAAAACATGAAAATAATCTCTGCGTCCTGAAGTAGGACCTCTGGTAATGTATGTGGATTGGTAGCAGAGAGATGGGTGTGACAACGACAACGATGATCCAATGCAGATGAGGAGGAAAGACTAACCTGTCAATAGTTCATAGAGTGTGAGGAGAAAAGGTCCGAAGGAGATTATGAGGCAAAAGGGGAAACAGGGTCAAAAGACAGTCCTGGGTTTGTAAATGTGGAATCCACTGACAGGTACAGAAATGAAATGGCAGAGAGAGGTCAGGACTCAGGCGTGGGTCGAATCCATTTAATTTAATTTCTCACGGACAACACCGTACCATCCTGAAGGAAACGGCCAAGTTGAACGCTTCAACCGCACACTCATACAGATGCTGAGGACTCTTGCAGAAAAAGAGAAATCCCACTGGAAAGAGTCATTGAACAGTCACATCGTGTCCGTGTCTGTTCTTCCTTATTCCCCTTTACAGGGGCGTAACATATTCTTGATTAAATGCAGCAAAATAAAATATTTCAAAGGTAACAGATCTTTGCAATCCTTGGTTTATTTACATAATGACTTTAATTGCTGGATGTTCTGCCCCTGAGCTGTTGACCTGCAGTAACTGTGGCCCCCAGAGCTATTTAGTTGAATAGCCCTGGATTAAGGGATAAAACTGTAAGGAGAAACTCAAGAAAGTTTTGAAAAGTTTTATTTCGTTGAAACAAAATATCACTTAATTGATATTCATGTGAAGATAAGGAGACATGGAGCTGCGGTAGCAGAATATTTTGATTATAGCACACAGGACATTGATTTTTCACAGAACCAATCAGGAATGAGCTTTTAACATCAGCTGATCTGGAACCAAACAGCAGATTATCATCAGTCCACAATGGAGAAACCAAGAGACACTTATTTCTTGTTTGATCAGATCTTGATGAAAAAAATTTCATATGATCAAAACTTTGGTATGAATAAAACTACATTCTGTTTCTTCAGATGGATTATCTCCTCTACACCTGGACCGACCAGGGGCTGAAGGTTCCTGGTTCCGCAGGAGGACACTGCAACCAAAAACAGTAGAAAGTCTCAGAATAAAAACAGTGTCAGAGAAAATAAGACCAAAAACTATTACAGATTGTACCAGTTTGGTGAAGCGGTCGCTGCAGGCGTTGCGAATCCTCTCAGCAGAGGCGGGGCTGTCCAGCCTAAATGGTCCAGTAATGCCCGACTCGGCCCGGGCGGCCTTGATGGCGTCTTTGATGGCATAGAAAATGGATGCCGCCAGGAAGAGAGGAGGCTCGCCAACCGCCTGGTCAACACACAGTGATGTGAAACAAGTCTCTGTATGAGTTGTGATGCTACCAGGGAGTTAACATGGAGTTACCTTGGAGGCGAAGATGGCCTTATCATTGGGAGCATCTCGGAGCAATGAGACGCTGAGCTGGATTGGAATGTCACCAAACGCAGGAATCTTATAGGAACCTGGACCCCGTGTGAGGAGGACTCCCTGAGGGGAATAATGGAGTTCCTCCAGGGTGAAGAGGCCCAGACCCTGCATGAAGCCCCCTTCAACCTGCATCCAGAGGAACACCATTCATAAGATGAAGTTAAATTAACGTAACCACTCAGCTACAGTTGAGTCGTTATTGTGTGCTTTGAATCATTGTTCTGTAGGAGGACCCATGACCTGAGACCAAGCGTTATGATTCTGGGCAGCACATTTTACTCCTGGATGCTTTAATAATGTTGAGATTTCATTCATAGTTTCAAGTTATGTCAGTGACCTTTGTGGGCTTTTCTTTCTTTAACACAAGAGTACAAATTAATTTGTCTGAAAACCCAAGAGAACACTAATGGAGAAACCAGTTCTGTGAGAAAACACACCTCTTTTCTTGTTAGTTACAACAGCAGACTGAGTTTTCTGTATTAAACCAGCTCACCTGTCCAATGTCAATAGCTGGGTTCAGGCTTCGACCAACGTCCATTACTATGGTGGTGCTCAGATTCTGTAAAACAAGAAAAATTATCTACACCTCAGGCTCTTTCAGAAGGTGCCTCATACTGTTTCTGATGCCTGTTCTGTCCACCTCGGTCCATCAGAAGACACAAAGGGGTGCCTCCAAGTGAGGTAGCTACAGATCCCATACTGTTGACTTTTGAAAAGGTGGGCCAGGTGGCGTCTCCAACTGATTAGAATAAAGTGACGTAGCGCTGACTGACACCTTCGGGGACCACCCAGACAAACACCATAGCTGGATTCTTTTTGGATTTAACCTTCCTTCCTTTGTTTGTTTGGTTTGTTTGTTTTTTTGAGACCCACTGCTCTGTGAGCAGAGGAAGAAATAAATGCAAACTTTATCACAACAGACTGGCTAAAAGTATGCAGCAGCACAAAAACAACCATGATAAGAGTCAGGTTAAGATGAAACTTCAAACCCTAAAACAACATACTTGGACGTACTTCAATCTGTGCAAAAAAAGCAAGGAGTAGAATTCATTCTGCAGCTCCTGCTGCTCTCAACAGCAACTTGCGTGACAGCAACACATCAGCGCGGTGGCGTCTTTTGATTCTGCAATAATTAACGTACTCTGAAAGCATATTTGAGTGCCGTATGAGAGCATCTCCTTTGTTGACTTATGAACTGCCAGAGGGTGGTCATTCAGCAGTACTGTCTTCTGAAATAGCTTATTATAATCTGTAAATGTGACAGAGGCCTAATAAACAGGGTACCTAATGTACATCCTTGTGGAAAACCAAGTGAGGGTTTAACTGCATCTCTGACTTCATTTTGTGCAGACCTTGTGAGCTCCAGTCAGGCAGTCAATCTCCACCTCTGAACATGCCACTCCATAGCTGAAGTAGTTGAACGCTCTGCCTGAGTTTGTCTCAAAACTGTATCCCAGATCTGGTGTCCTGATAAGAAAAACGAAAAACTTTTACATCGTCTGTCTGTTCAAATGGAAGAAGCGGCTGAGGAAATGAACTCACCTGTAGAAGCCGTTTGCGCTGAGGTTGATTCTGTCGAAGTACGCGGCATTCACCTAATTAAACACAGAAAACTTCAGAGCTGCAACTTTAAATGAAACAACCTACGTGGAAAGTTCGGCTGGACACTAAAGCAGGTTGTATTGGTGCTTCAGGAACAAACAACAACATTAGCCTCCATCAGTAAACACTCCTAATAGTCCTGCCCACCCAGTCCTCCCATGAGCCTTTAGGGTTGTTGGTTTTGAATGGTGCCAGGCGTTTCTGCAGGATCTCACAGGCGATCTGCACAGCAGCTCCATTGAGGTCTGAGGAGGCGGAGGCAGCGGTGGGGCTGGTGTTGGCCACTGTGTTGGTGCTTGTCTCTGAGATGTGGATCTTTGAGCAGGGGATACCCAGAACCCTGCTGGCAACCTGGAGACACAGATCAAGGTTCAAACGTTTGCAGATGATACTGTTGTTGGACTTTTGTGGATCTGCTGTTTATGGGTACAGTCCTACAAAACTGATGTTCCTCTGCATGGAATCTTGATAATAGAATTTTGGAAAAAAGTATTTTTTTAATCCAATGTACCTTGTATCATACACACAAAGAGAGTAAAGCAAAAAACTGCTTTATTTGCCCCCTTTTTCATTTTCTAAAAATAGGAGAAAAAAACCAATACCTCACTCCCAGTTCCTAAGATTTATGTGTAAAATAAATATAAACTGAATGCAATAATTAGCAAATCTCATAAAGCCATATTTTTTTCACAATGAAACCTGCTAAACATATTCATTGTTGAAATTTAGAAGTTATACTAATTGAATGAAAAACAAATGGTAATTTTAAATTTGATGGCAGCAACATATCTCTTTAAAGTTGTTCCAGGGCCATGTTTTCCACAGTAAATACCCCCTTTTCTTTTTTCAACAGCCAGTAAATATCTATGAACTGAAGAGACCAGTTGTTGGTATTCAACAGTCCTGGCTTGCACCCCCATATTATCGGAGAGGAAGTATTTTGAGCTGTGTGCTGATAGCAGGCCTCCTCTTTAGTAATAAACATGTGCCTTGTATTGTAGTTTTGAAAAAGACTTTCAGATATGGACAAATGTGGCTTCTTCTTCTTTTTTTTTTTTTTTTTTTTTTTTTTTTTTTGCATGATCAAGCTTTAATCAGTATTTGTGAATGTCGTGGTGAGTTTTGTTTACAGACAAGATCAATAGAAGTGTTCCTGAGCCCATTCTGTGGTGTCTAGAACAAAATCAGACCTGCTTAAATGCAGTGATCCTTGAGGTCCCCAAGATCACAGACATACAATATTAACTTTAAACTTAGAACTTTCTCCTGAGTTTGTGAGATGAAATTGGACCCAGGATAGGCGGTTGTTTAATGTGCTGTTTACTTCTGCTCCGCCTGGTCACAATGGTAATGAAATTTTAATCTCGCTGGACGCCAAGAAAGCGTTTGACCGGGTGGAGTGGAACTATCTTTTAAGAC